TCTGGTTTTAATCCAATACTGAAGGTCCAGCAAAATCCACAGGAACCTGAGCAGCACCAGCACAGTGAGTGGAAATCAGGGCGTGCAGAGCAGAGAACAGGGGTAACAAAGAAAAGGAAATTAAGGTAGAAAACTGGTAGCTTTTTCCCCAAAAGATCAACACACCTCTAATCAAAAACCCTGCAAGATGTCTCAGCATCTCATTAAGCTGACTTCTCCAAGTAAATCAGTACTGAAGTAATGACAATATTTAGAAGCAAAACGGTCAACAAGTCACTCCCTCTATTAAGATCTAGGCTGTATTACAAAGTTTGAAAGCAGTTTCCCGGTGATTATTCTTTACTGAATGTGGTCATTTCTGCCCAAACAACAATGGGAAATTTGAAATAGTTCTGCTGAAAAATGAAATGCAATAGTAATAGTAGTAACAATATTCAGTCCTTCAGAGTGCTTCACATCTATGAAGTACTGCATGAACATTAGTTTATCCTAATCATCTCCCTGAATCAGGTATGTATTATTAATAGCACCATTACGCAACTGCTGCAGATTCCCGTTATTTCTTTTGCTCACTTCCCTTATTCCTCTTTTCTCTTTCACATGCAGAGCACATCCCTCTGATTTGTTTGCTCTCCTCCTTTTCCCCCTTCAAAGTTTCTCACCTACCTACTCTGGCACCCCTCTCTGTTCCCAATGCTAAACATTTTAAGGTACACAGGGGCGTTTTATGTCCTTCGCTAGCCTGAGCACTTTAGGCAGGTTCATCTCATCTACCTGCATCACTTACACCTGATACTCTGTCTATGCTGAAAATTTTTTTACTGTTTAGAGCGGTAGCCTGCATAGCAACGCTCACCAGACACATGCAGGCATCTGATAACAATTAAAAGCACAGCTAATGATATCTGCACCAGCACAGGCACCCGCTTCACCATCAGCCATTTCTGTTGGAGAAGGACAAATGTCTAATTTTTGAGCACTGGAGCCGAGTAATAAAGCAACAGTTATCCAGCGGCCCTACAATGACAGAACAAATCTACTACAGCAAATGCTGGCGACCACAAAGAGCTCTAGTCCTCATCTAGTTTTACAAGGAATTCATCATAGGTAATAAAATCTGTAATTTCTATCTAAACCTTGGAAGCCTTCATCCATTTTTTACACAAGTTCGTCAGCATCACCTGATATGGTATCATTCACATACAACGCAAGTACTAACACGAGGGAAATTTTCACTGGCATACACCCTCGATATTGCACATTTAATCAAACACATTAGTCCCTTCTTTGCTGACTTAGGCTATAACTCATCAATAACTGCAGAATTTCTCTCAACACTAAGTTGACAAGACTTTTTCCTCTGAGGCAGCACTTTTCAGAGCAGTTTTTAAAATGCTAAGCTAGATCTATTCATCAAAATTGTTTTCTTTAGATGGAAAACAGTGTTACAAGAAAAAGGATGACTTGTTTACCTCCCCGGCCAAAAGCATACAGACAGAAGAGATGAGACAAACACCTCTACCGAATGGCACAGACCCGAGAAAACACGCATTCAAAAATCAACTGCAAACATGACCACGCTAGATTTGGTATTTCTTTAAGCATCTGACATGCCAAAAGATCTGAGGTATTAGGTAAAAATATTAACAGGGCATCAATATTCAACAAGACTTGTCTTCCAGCCTCATTTTAATTAACAGGTGTTCAAAATCTTGTTAAAAAATGTAGGCATTGTTGTTTTGCCTTCTAGAGGTTGGTAAAACTACCCTTAAATTATCTGTATAGAAATTAAGTAGCAAACTGAGAGACTTAGAAACTTTATGCCTCCCACCTACAGTCAATAAAACTTCTAGACAAATCTCCTTTCCCAATAAAACTCAAAATCAGCTGATTTATAAAATGAATTGAACCAGCAGCGAAGTTTTCGGTCGAAGAGAGAAGAACACAGTACACTTTCTCTAACCCTCCCCGAGCTGTGGTGTGGCAGTGCAGAGCCCCCCCCACACCCCCAGCCCGAGCGCCTGCCCTGGCAGCTCTGGGATCCTAACCTGAAAGCACACAACACCCTTGTGCCAGCAGCGCTGACACAGCAGCCAGCCCCACCCAGGGAAAGTGAATCCAAATGGATGCACGATCCTCCCGGCTTAATGGACAGCAGTTTTCTGTACTAAAGGCATAGCAAGGGTTTGCACAGTGCTTCAGCTGTTGTAATTCCCTTGGTGCTTAATATACGTCAGATCCTTTTATTCATCAAAACTTCGGACTCAGTTTTTTTTTTTTTTACTTCCCCTCCTTTTTCACAATTACCTACATATGTAAAATTAAGACAGATTCTCCTTCATTCTTAGTCCTTCCAGCAGAGATGATGTTCAAAATGTGACAGAAAAATAAAAAGCCACATTTAGGCAAAAAGCAGAGGTCCAGCTTCTCCCCAGCGTCTCTCCCAGAGAAAAGCTTTCTGGCTCTCCTCCTCTTACTCCCAAGTGAGATACCACCACAAACAATACCGCCTAGGGCTGCCAGCACGCTTTTTAAAGAGCATTCACGGAAAATACCGCCAAGAGTAAACTCAAGTTTCCGCTCACCTTGTCTCACATGGTAGCGCATATAGAAAAAGGCCGACAGACAAGCCTGGTGCTCTGCCGTGGGGTAATAGCTCATACATTCTCCATTATCAGATCATGGAATAAATATGTAATAGGTTAAAGTACTTCATATCATAAATTAAGGAGGGTCAAGACCAAGCGAACGCTCCAATATTCAATATGAATATATCATTCCTGTGGCATTATTTCATTAATTTGCAGCATATAATAATACACTTAAAAAGTTTATGTTCCCATCTCCATTTTTCAAGCTCTTTTAATAGGTTTCACCACTTCACTAAAAATGCATTTGAATTTTTACCGTTGTGTCTTTGTTACAACATATCTCTATATATTTATCGTGTAGTTCTATCAATTAGTCTGGCACCATGATTTACTGCACAGCAAATACTCAGCATCAAGACTCACACAAAGCTTGTCAGCTTATTTTAGGAGCATGTTTGGTGTAATCTGCCAGCTCTCAGTGATTTCTTGGGACCTTCTGCTAGCTTTTACAGCTTTTTTGGCTTTAATAGCTCATTAACCGCTTTCTCTGAAGACAAATACATTGAAATTCTTTAACAATTTCCTCTGCCAGTATCTCTGAGCTTACTGATTCTCAATTCAAAAGTTTTGAACATCTTGCAAGCTCCGATTGCTCACCAAGGTTGTCTTCTGCTTCTACACCAGATTTCTTCATACCCCTTACAGTTATCTCCACCTTGCAGTAGTATTCCGTGATTAGTCTTGGCCCTGTTTCCTAAAGATCCCAAACTCACGCTTATTTCTTGTTTTCTTTTTCTCAGTGTTGCAAGGGTTTTTTTTTTTACGTCTTGACATTTTCAAATTATCACCTGGAAGACGGCTTAACTGTTTCTGAAACTGCCTTATTTGATTCTATTTTTCATGCATTTTTATCCTAAAAACATACTGGAGAGTTTAGCATGTTTAAAGACATCAAAGTAATCAATGCCTTAATGAATGCTAGGCTCAAATGAAGACATCTGCCAGCTAACATTTACAAAATGGTTTAAGTTTTCCTCTCTTCATTGTTTTGAGCTTTTCAAAACAGCGCACTCAGTGGAATGTCAGTTTCTTAGAAGTATATTTTACAACTCAGAAAATATTTTATTTGTAACCTTCTTTAACAAAATGCCAAATGTATAAAAGTATTTACCACCCTTCCAATAATAATAAAAAACCCAAACAAACACAAAAAACCCCCAAGCACAGCATCTAGAAAGAATCAGGCTTACTCAGATTAACTGACATTGAGTCTTCAAAGTACAACATTTCAGGTAACAATCACCTCTAAAATATTAAGAATGGAGTTTTTTTCCTGGAAACTTTACATTTCCTGATCATGCATGCTTAATAATAAATTCAACCTAACAAAAGTCGTAATTCAAGCTTTAAATCAATTCATTTCTAAGGTTTAAAGATACTAAAGAAAATTGAGGATGAAGGGATGGTAAGCCACAATCGAAAAATTTGGTTTTAATCTCCTGTAAAAGCTTTTTATGCAGTTCTGGCTAGAAGTTTAAGTTATCTTTAAGAAAGCACATTTGAGAAAGCCACAGGTAGTTTATTTATTTTATTTTTTTTAAGGGAAAGCCTGCCCTCTTGTGTAAGGCTGAGGTTTAGCATGACTACAGTCAAAAGAGGCACAAAGATCAGTGCTACTTCTTGACTACCTAGAAAACATGAACCTTCCAGCGCTCTTCTATTGGAGCGCGCTGCTTTTGCTGAATGGGGAACACAGAGCAGCTACTCATAATCTAATGCTCTCTCTGCAACAAGAACAAAAAGGAAGTGCTTTCTATTTTGCTTGTTATTTTGCCCACTAAATTAGAGTCAATTTTCAAATATGTAAGTGTAGAGGTAATTTTGAAATTAGTCTCTTCCATCACCTTTTGTACACATTCAGTAGAGACAAAAGGAAAAAAAGGTTTTTCTCAGACTCTGACAAATAAAGAAGAAGAAAGGAAAAAACAGCTAACACGTGGGGACTTTGGTTTGTTTTTTAACCCTTATCCCAGTTAGCGTACTATAAAGGCATCTACTTCCTTAAAAGAGGACACCAAGCATGAAGTCTGAATCACAAGTGGCTTGCAAAAACCCACTGAAGACAACATATAGATGTCATGTAGTGCTGACAAGATCCTAAAGTCAAAATCACAGAAAATGATCACGACTACTACCTACTATATGCACTTCACATTCAGCATAAGCAATAAATATTTATCCAGCTGCGTAAGTAGCAGCACTGGCACAGAATAAGTAGTGCAAGGCATTCGTTGTGGACATACATATAACAAATGGACAAAGCTTTCACACGTACTTTAAATTAAGAAAGTTTCATCCCCCAGAAAAGTTAGGCACCTCCAATGTAAGTAAATAACAAATAACACCTACTTTCGAAGGTGTTCGTGTTCCTTCAGGAATAGTTCTGTTCTTCTGTTATTCACGCCAGACCCACTTTTATAGGATCTAAAACCCGACAATGAAAGAAAACAGAATCTTACCACAACCTTAATAAGAGTTGTGAATTCAAGTAACTTTTTTTGCTTTATTCAGCACACAGATGAATTAGCTATGCCAAGTGTTCTCCTACAGGAGGGTTTCCACCTCCTCCCTCCGAGGACAATCCCGTATCATTGCTATAACAAACAATACAACTTACTCGATATCTTTTCGTACTGATCCCAACAGATTCTCCCTTTCTCGTATTGCCAAAAAGTTCGCTTTGGTTTTGTGGAATTCGTGCGTATAATCCTGTAATAAAACAATTAAGTAAAAAAATTAGGATCCTGAGATCAATTTAACAACACAATATACTCAACTAAGATCCAACCATCTTTTAAAACGTTACCTGTTCTCTAATATGAAGTGCAAGAACAACTTATGAAATTAATATCAAAAATGCTTGGAAGTTAATGCAAAGTATTTTTAAAACTCACTACTCTTACAGTAGTTTCTAACTTCTGATAGCTACAGCTAAGGTCTTAGAGGGAAATCCACCATAGTTCCTTCTCCCAATTTCATAGATCTTCACCTTTCTGATGAATTATCATTTTGTGTTGGAATTTCCCATTACCAGTTGAATCAGGAGCGCTAGTAAAACCTACTTATTTGGTGTGGTGAAGATGTTCTTGGGTTTATTTTGTTAAGTTACACCAGATGAAAAAAGTCATTTTGGAACAGTGAAGACAACTTTTTTTTTTTTTTTTTTTAAATGTTCAAGTTGCAATTTTACATTTGAAAACATTTCAGGCATCTAATACTTCTTGAAAACCAGTTTAACTGGCAACTGGTATCCACCAAAACCATTGTAAACATTCAGCAGTATTTTTCATATAAATGCTATGGCTTTTACAAAGCACTAAGGTTTTTACGTTGTGTGTTGCACATATACAAAACAGAAAATAAACTGTACATGACCAGCTAAATAAAATATGCATTTTTAACATTACTGTGCCGTGAAAACATCACCATTTTGAAACACTAATTAGTAGCTTTACCCATCACATTTCCTTCAACTCCCCTTAGCTGTTTAGATGGTTTCACAATCATACTTTCTTAAGTGTGATGTTCCCTCTCATATTGCTATGTGACAGACAACACAGACAAGATAATTCATTACACCACCTTTCCCCTTTTGCTATATAAAAGACGCCTACATAAACCGGCACGCTTTACTGTTCTTTCTTAGTTAGGTACTGGTCACCAATATGACATAAATAATACTGTTTTTTCAACTTAAGAGTTCACTGACTGGGGTGCCTGGAGAGAAGAAAAGCGAGGTGGGATCAGCGGCACCTGGTAAGACATTCAAGCATGCTGTGATATCAGCACTGCTAATTATTCCAAACAAAGAAACAAAATAAAAGCAAGAAGGACGTGTGTTTGTTACCTGCAATATGTCTCTATGGCGCTGTAGCGTATGCATCAGTGCAGCATTCAGGGACGGGACTCCCGCACTATTTGTGTATTCTGCCATTTTGTCATTTATTCCAGTCAGCTAGAGGAAGAAAAAAAAACAAACCACCAAACCCATGAAATGGCTTATTCTTGTAAGTTATAACATATAAGTTGAAGGAGCTAGCTCTAACGACAGACATATATCTTCAGAAACACTTGTCTAACACCCACACTAGTATTTCCCAACATTCATCATAGAAACCTGTATTGCAGTATTTCCCAGATGCTGAAGTAAAACCAGAGTAAGTTGAATTACCTTTCCCAGAAGTTGTTCAATCTCCACAGCCATGGTCTCAAACATTCTGTCCTGGCTTGATCCATTTAAGAGAGGAGTTGTGTCAGAGCTAAGGAAAAAGAGGAGGAGCAGTTACTGAAAAGTACATCATCTCTTCACGAATGCAAGAAATAAGGAAACACTAGTGTTAGGTGTTGGCAAGCTCCACTACCCAGGTTTTCTGGAGGGAAGAATTAAGCTCAGAAAAATCACATTTTCTTATCACACAAGCCTTTAACTCTTATCTGAACTCATGACACAGCATCAACAGGGGAAAATACAACCTCTCCTTGGAAGATATGCCTGACCCCAAACACCTGTCTACTACCAGCACGTAGCTAGGACTAATGCCCTTCCCTCCCCAACTTTTAAGCTTGATTTATTTATTTATTGGCAGGAGGGAGCACTGCACCATATTACACCAGCTACATAATTACACCTTAAAAACAGTGCTAAGACTACCCACTGACCTATTAAGCAGTGCTCTACAGAGCAATATAAACTGCACAATTTATCACTACTACTATTTCATGCAGTACACCTTCCCTATACGCTTTTTTAAGATAAATTAAAACCACAATAAGAAGTCATATCTAGGCAACAAAATAGAAGCACAACACTTAGCAGGTCAACCTGCAGAAATATGACAACTGATACCTGTCAGAGACTACTCCTTGTAAGCTACAATAACTAGAGTAAGAGAAGTAAGTTTTGCAGAGGACAGCAAAAATAACTAAAACAATTAGATTACATGACAAGTAACAGCACAGCGCCAGAAACAAGAGAGACACTAGGATTCTGATTCAAGAGTAACATGATCATTCGTGAGGCTTTCTCAAGCTTCCAGAACCAGAAACTCATGGAGAAGTTCAAAATGAATTCAATCATCAGATAAGATAAATAAATAAATAAAAATAGCAACACACATACATACAGTAGTCACGCTCACAGCTTATACACAATGTTGGGACCCACAGTTAATAAGCAAAGAACGGCAGTTTTTAAAGGTTGCTCACAGGGACACAGAAGTTGATAATTAGTGCTGCGGAACTGCAGGAAAGACCTCAACTCTGGCCCATAAGCTAGAAAGATTTGAAAAGTTTTAGCATATTAATTCTTCATTCAGACATGAATTTACCTAAAGCTAACAGAAACTATTCAGACATATACACACGTTTATGCATGTGTCTGGTTTATATCTACATAAAAACATATGCGTAGCTCTCACTATTACTACTACTCCTCTTAGGAGAAAGGCAGAAAGAAGCAGCTACCCCACCTGAAGGGAGGGCTGGTCCTCTGCGCAACCTTGGTCACAGCTGCTCAGTGCTCCAGTTCCCTTATCCTTAAAACAGGGATTACAAATACACACCAGCCCCCACCTGGGAGGTGTAAGGCTAAATTCCCTTAATACTGAAGTCCCTGAAAACTTCCAGCTGGTTTAATACAAGAAAAACTGGGAAATAAGCTGATGTAGTGAGTGTTAAAAAGCCCTATCATCCGTTCACACGGTAACCCCACCGCTACAAACTGAAGTTTAAATTCAGCTTCCCTTAGTGACAGATATGCTCTCGCGATGCACCACTGCAGCCCACACACCTTTCTGACTCATGTGCCAGTATCACTCAACATTGCATCAAAACCAACACCAGCATCACAGCATCAAGAAGTGCTGAAATGAGCTTCTTCAGAAGCTCAGCATAAAAGCCACAGGTGGGACTAGCATTAAGCAATTGATAGTTTGCTTATGAACCAAGTACCACAAGCAGCATTTAAAACATAAAGAAATGGGCTAGTACCTATACCTGTCGCGCCTTCCGTCTCGGGTGCTGCTGTAGCTGGTGCAGAGTTTGCTGAAGGAGACCAGCTTCAGGTCCAGCTCGTTCTCCAGCTGCCTCGCCTGCTTCCTGAGATCTGCACAGGGCGGCCGAGAGCAAGGGAGAAGTCACAAACCCGCACGGTGACCCCACGCGTTTGGGGGGAACGCGTTTTCACGGGGAGCTGGCGCAGAGCGCTCGGGAGCCCCGGCGAGGAGAACCCCAGAGAGAAGGGCGCCCGACAAGGGGGGCCCTCACAGAAAGGGGGGCACCCCACGCTAGCAGAGGGGGGCTGACGGCTGAACACCCGCAGGCCCTGCCCCACATGGCAGTGGGGTGTGAGGTGCCGCCCCCCTCCCCGCAGGCCCCAGAG